AGAATCTAAAATACTCCAATAATGAAAATAGTAGATAATATGAGTTTTAGAAACTTTTTTTGATTACAGAGTACAGACCTATGGTATATGATTTTGAATTTAAATAATATCAAATTAATGATATTTGTTTTACAATAAAGTGCAAAACAACGACTGCATAAACGTTTCTAAACAGACGGAACAAAGGGTTTATTGTTGTTTTATTTATAGCTATCATCAAAAACCGTTTGGCATGAAAACATCAACTCGCACAAAGACTGAGTATGCGAGGTTCAAGTTCAATTAATGCACAAGGTAGCAAAGGCCACGAAGCTATATATATGTGATAACAAAAAGAGGGAGCCGGTTGCCTAGGCAACCGGAAAACTTCCCCCACAAAGCTTTCCGCAGCAGGTACCCAACAGCATCCGTACGCAGCAGATCTCTCTCTCACACGCTCACTCTTTCTCTCTCTCTCTCACTCTCTCTCTATCTCTCCATCGCAAGTTTTTCCTCGTCAAAAGTGGCGATACCCACTTCACTGCACGTATAAGCYACATACATACACATATACAAACACACACGATACACACCATCATCCATTACTCCGTTTCTCTTTTAATATAACAATAATAATAATACAGGCATATGTATGCGTATATGCCACAAACAGCGGGGAAGAACCGATGAATATTTCTTAATGGAATCAAATATGCATATCGGGCATGCCGGACGAGTTATATTATGCTACTAGTGCCCGAAAAGAAAAGAAAACATCAATTGTTAAAATAAAAAATATTTTTATCTCTTCGTAACCTCAACCTTTACACATTTTCGTATATATAATAGGTACATACCTATATGTCTTTAGTGTCTAGATATACATATTTTTTTTCATTGTGAGAAAATATACACACAAAAAATTTGCGACCGAATATCTCACAATATAGTACTTTTTTAGTGAACAACTCTAGCGCTAGAACTAATACAACTATAATACAGCATAAAAATACATAACTTGAAATGTACGACTGGAAATATTAAACGCTATAAATGATAGTTGTTTCCATATTAATGGCTATAATGAAGAAGGCAGTACTTCAATTGACCTGTCTGCCAGACAGGTATATTTTGCGTGCGTATAATACATTAATACATATAAGGATCGTTCTCACTTCCCCCTTTTTGTTTTCCGGAAGGGCGATCATATCATACCCTGAAATGGATCCCCTCCTTATATTATAAGTATACAGAACGGTTGTAATTATTCAGAGTTTCAAAACCTAACAAGAAAAAACATTAAGAGATAGTATCATTTTTCAGTACAGCCAAAATATGACTAAAATTCTAGTACAATATTCTTAACCATTGCGGTGAACCTACAAATCATAAATTGCAAGTAGGTACTATAAACTACTGTACGCAATATTTAAATATCTATTTCGTATGATAAAAACATACCCACGACTTAAAGCACTTGGTAAATGGGACTTAGTGTTAAGAAAACTATTTTAAGTTTAAAATGTACTTAAAATAGTTAACCTAAAACATATATTTAATGTTGTCTTTTCAAACACCATAAATATTTAAAACATAAATAAAAAATAAATCTTAAGTACCTAGGTATCAATTGTTTTATTTAATTATATTATATTAAATATGATAATATTATGTTTTAAAATCTAAGTTTATATGAACACTTGCTTTCTTTTTGTATATTTAAAAGTTTAAAGTTATTTAAGTATTTTTTACATTAATAAAAAAGTATATTTTTGAAGTGAATATAATCGCAATACAACTTAAAGATATGTAATTTTTACACAAATGCACTGTAGTTATTTAAATAATAAAATGTCCCAGATTTTAATTTATATATAAAATAATGAATTTATCTTTTTAAATATATAGTAATTGTGTAGGCATTGGTATATAATAATCAAAAATTAAGTAAAAACAAATCAGTTCACAAAACTAGGTAATAAAAATTTAAAATTATGTTTTGAATTTATCACTTATTAAACACGTATAACGAAACTATGAATACCTATTAAAATCATTTTAATTCGTTATACTTAAATCATTTTTTTCTTAAATAAATTTATTTTAATTATTATTTGCTGTTTATTCTTAACTTTGTATCTATTCATTTTAAACCTATTTAAAAAAAAAAAATCCAACTTATTGTACCAAAGTTATGAAATCAGAATTGATTAAATTCTTAACAATATAATTTTAGAAAAAATAAATTGAAAAATTGGTTATGACGTTTCACACTACCACAAAAGCCATTGTAATGTATGTGTATCTCTCATATATCAAACGCATGTCCGAAAAAAATCAATTCCACGAGAAATTTTCACAGAATTGAGAAAAAGGGGAAAAATCACAAAATAATTGAAACCATCTTTTCTCACTGATGCGTCATTAATCATCCACACGCACATACAGACACATTTCCGTCTCTCTTTTTCTCTATTTCGTTCTTTCTCACCTGAAAACGTGTGGTGTTAGAAAAAAAAACCGTTTTGTATTATTTTTTTTTTCCACGTTGAACACGATTGAGGAAAACATATTGAACTAGATATAGGATAGCATAAACGTGCAACAAAGGGGAAGACTGCGGCTTCAACTTTAATTAGATGTTTCCCAAAAAGCCACTGAGATCGTTGGAAAATAAATTAACTAAGCTCCAAGGAAGTGAAACATATATCTCGCTATATGCACGTGCTAAAAAAAACTCGCGGCGTAAACTCGCAGACCAATCTCGAATGACACAAAATTACACACGTGGATTTACTATAGGTATATACATTAAGTACTAGTTACCTATATGTGTGGATCACGCACTAATGTTGTACCATATAGGTACGCATAATTGGATTTGATTGGTCTGTCTGTCGATTGAATTAACGACGAATTGGTTATTTTAACGTGCACGCGGGATAATGGACGTCATGTTAAACGACCAGTGTTCCACCCCTAACACGGCGCAAAACCACCCCTGTTAGGGGATGGCTGTAACTCGTATTCACTGTGATGGACACGTCGTACATGTCAATCAATGAGCAATGCGTACAAAGTCAAATGCGATTAAACGTGTAGGTAATAATATGTATGTACGCTGTACGAGTATCGCGCCAATACTCTGGTTGCTGTACCTACTGCGTATACTAGTTTTATCACCGGAATTTTTTAAATAACATTGTATATAATATGACACTATACATGTTAATAATACTTTAACGATTCACTTAGAATTTCAACGGTAGTTAATCTCTGGTCTTGAAACGTTATAAATATATAATAGTAATAATATAGTCTACGGGCAACAAAGGTCGCGGTCTAATATATTGTATCTTAATTATTTTTTGTATAAGCACCTAAATCCATTTTGAATAATAAATTTAAAAAAATGTTAACGTTAGATAATTATTGAATTTAAATCAGGCATATTGGTAGTATAGGTAAATTATATTAAACACTTATTCTTTAAATTCCATTATTTTAAATTAGAATATTAAGATATCATGACAATCGTATTAAATGCTATATTCGCAATGGAACTTYATTACATTTAAGGAAGATACCTAAACAGTAAACAATATATGAAATTTTTGAAAATGAAAATTATGTTTTTTTACTACCAAAACACAATATTTATAAAATAAAATTTTACCGTTGGCACTTTCTAAAATTAAAAATCAACAAAGTGAACTTTTGAAATGACGCACGAAATCATTTTAAAAAGTGATTTCGAAATTATATTAAGTAAGTTTTTTTTTATATTATTTTTTTTAGACAACAAATATATGGTGTTATGTCCCTCACATAAAATCTACAAGTCACAAAAAGTTAAGCTTTCTGGTATTGGTAAGTTCAACCGAGGTCGCCTTTATGTATGCTACAGGCTGTCTTTTGAACTGTAAAAAGCGAATTTTACTAAGCGAAAGGAAAAGGGGAGCAAAAAGTTTGTGTCGTAAAAAGAGTGAAAAGGAGTTGCGTCCACAAAGGGTGACTTCGTTCATAAAAATCCGGGAGCGCGTGTAAATAAAAGACACAAAGTCATAAAAAAAGATGTATCCAACAAAATTAAGACCAACGTCCGTACAAACTCAACATAATATTTATACCATAAACCTCGTTTAATTTATACACTACCCACGAATYATAAAATTTACGATTTACGAATACACAACTTAAGTTGGACTCGTATTTAATCATATTATAACATAGATGTTTCCTAAAACTAATGTATATAGTATCGAAGCCGTAATATTACGAATATTTACGAATGAAATCGACAGTTATAATATACTCGTGTAAGGAGGTGATTAAAATTTTATTTTGTTTTCATACTTATAGGTTCAAATAAATCGTATTTTAGGAAATTCTATAAATTTAAATTTTAGATAAATCAAATTATTCTTTCATCTGTATATATAATATGATCAGTGTGCAGTTATGTCCATCGGATATGATACATAATTCAATTTAATTTTTTTTTTTTAACAATTACTTTTATTATAACAAGATAAAGTGCTATAACGATTTAATAAAAATCATTGCAATATTTCACATATGCATTATTGAAAATCAAAATTTATCGCGTCATAAATTAAGTATTTATTCATAAATATGGGTTATCGGATTGATACCATTTAAAAAAAAAAATTGACATTTCATATCATGAAAAATCTTATTTGTATACAATAATTTTTCATAATGAATAATACATTACTAAAATTATAAAGAATAAACCCCATCGCTATGCCTTATGATAATAATATAAATGATATATAATAATATTATACGAACATAATTATATACACATTATCATAATGCCGAGAGTGTTTGCTTTTTTAACACCTCGATTATAGATTTTAATATTACTATAATGCCTAAACATAATATTACGGTAAGAATTGGGGGGAAATGCTTTTTTCGACATATATTGTACGCTTTACTGTAACTGATTTTTTTTTTTTTTTAAAGAGATAAAAATATATTCTGAAAAAAATTACCTGCTACTTGAAGAGTCGCGTTTCGGCTCACTTCTGTACCGGCCACGTTTTTGGCAACGCACCAGTAAACTCCACTGTCCTGTTCTTTTTTGTTGTGTGCCACTCGCAAGAAAAACAATGAACCGTCCGACAGGATCACCTTCTGCGATGACCGGGCTCCGTTGTCACCACCTCCACCGGCCGCAGCGCCATTGGGTGGGATTTTTAACAGTTCTCCGTCTTTGTACCACTCGATTGTCGGCTCCGGACGGCCTTCGGCTTTACAGCCCAAAGTAATCGGCTCATTTTTCGGTACTGTTATATCGGTAGGATGCTCGGTGATTCTCGGTTTTCTGTATTGTCCTAAAAAATAAACGAGTTCATTCATTAAATTTCAGTTTATATCGGATTATATTATACAAATTATTCAACAAATTAATATGGAATCGAGATTACCTATAAGAAAATATCAACAAAGATAATGATAAAATTAATAACGAATATGGTATTTGGCCTTCTCCAATAATATATATTATATTTCCTACCTACGCGATAAAATGGTTACTACAATACGCACTCAAATAATAGAGTAAGTATTTTTGAGGGTTTAATTTTTGAAGGTTTTGACCAAAAAACATACATTATGCTATATTATACAAGCAACAGTACATTTAAAATAATATATATAATAATTGTAATTTGAAACGTCAGAGTTAGTAACGAGATTTTATGTTGATTATTCTCCTTTACGGGTAAAGTACAATATTTTTTAAGACAAATTCTTCATAAAAATTATTTTTATCTCTAATTTTCAGTAATATTTCAGTTTTAGAACAAAATAAATCTGTATACGACTAAAGTACCTACACCTACGTTTGATACTACTGATTTTTTATTGGCTGATATTTAAAAAATATTTTAATTGGATATTATAACTATACTGYCGTATTGAAAAAACTCTTACTCATGCAAAGTGCGCATATATTATTTTTATAATATACACAGTACCGTATTGGTGTTTTCGTTAATTTTAAGTTTAAACCATTTTGTGACCAAGTAAATTAAAATGTTTGGTTCATATTATATTTTACTGTTTTAGTATTTAATTAATTAATCCAACAACGATAAAACGTATAATATCAGCAGCGAAGCCACTCGGGAACATCTATATAACKATGAGCAATAACGCGATATGCGAGCCGTTAAGATATAATGCCCGGGTAACTCGAGAGGAAAATTATACTGTAATTAATAGGAACTATTAAAAACCACAGCAAGCACATATTATAAAGGTTGTAAATTTCGCAATGAGCTCTCATCCGAAACGATCATGCTCATTTCATAACATGCGTTTATAATATATACCTATACTGATGAGTTTGTACCTATATAAATACCTTACCTAATAGGTATAAGTATATACCTTAAAAATTAGGTATTCTGTTTTAAATAAAATATCAACATGTGTGTACATATTATAAGCGCCCATACAATTATATTATCATAGCATACTATTAGTGATTAACGAACGTATAGAAAATACAATTATAGAATAATTTTGTAATAACAATATTTAAATTTTAAATATTAAAATATTTGAATACATATAGGTACACTGCTGAATACGATAGCGCCGATAGGTATTACCTATTTACTTTATTACCGAGTTAGGCGTACTAAAAATTTGAATAAAAAAGATACATTTAGATAAAGGTGCTATATATAATGAAATCAATAGACTACCTAATAACTAGAATTCTAAACGTAATATTATTCTAATATTACAAGCAAATCTGCATACATCTATATATATATATACACATATTTAATCTTATAAAATGATATAACAACTAAAGAAGCATACACATATAGAGTTAAATTCAACAGCGCATAATAACTGGCCAAGTTATAACCATGCGCACGAATTATCATCAGAGATCTATAATAATATAATATGATGAATATAAAAATATGTGTTATGTGTATAATAAATATACATATATATCAAATATTTGCATTCACATTGAATACACTTTGATATTATACGTATATATTTACCACTCGAGAAAACATCGGTGCGTATTTTGCCGGGCTCTGCGAAGACTCGTTGGTGAACTAACTGTGTATATATATATATAATATATTGTATATACAGTTAAACATTTAACGCACACATTAATATATAGTATATTATTATATTCAAAAGTTCAAAACGTTGGGTGCATGCGATATGCGAATATATGCGACGGTAAAGTTCGAGAACGACGACAACAGCTGCTGCTACTGCTGCTGCTTTTACGAATTTATTATTTTATTCCCTTCGAACAATAAAAAAAAAAGAGAAAATTAAAACTTCCGATCGTAACTTAAATATTGAATATTAAAACATTTATACTGTTACTTTTTGAAATGAAACTTCTTTACAAAGGGCGCAATGACTATACTACACAACGCCGAAAAATGTTTAACCAGGTTTATGACTGAAAATTGTCGGTGGTACCAACCAAATAATTTTATTTTAATTAAAATGGTCACTCTAAGCATATTGCATTTGATCGATGTGCAAGAATGCCAAGACTCTATGATGTATATTGTTTTTACTAGTATTAAAATATTAACTGCCGACTTTTGATCTTAAACGGAGACTATTATAATTGTTAATTTTGAGCCAGAAAACTCGGAAATATTGAATACGAAGAAACCTCAGATTAACGGCAATAATAACTTGACTATTTCAACAACTAGGGAACTACTCGATCAAGGATCACAATACATGCAAATATGCAATTTTTACAAGATATCTTAACAACGTTCTATCAAAAACTTATATCAGTTATTTTAGTTACGATGGCCCGATAATTACTGTAGAGCCGTTATAATAATAAAATTAATTAAAAAGAATCAAACAAAATATAAATTATTTTTTGTTTCACGAACGTGAACTTAAAACCCAAGGTAAAACCCTGTTTGCATGAACTGAACTCGTTGCTGCGAGATAGTTGATTTTCTGAAATTCCCAGATATCATTAAAAACTACGAAATAAGTTTTACTTAATGTAGGTACTAGGTACGCTAGATTTCACATTTTTTTTTTTTTAGAAACAGATTCGCCTTTACTAAGTAAGTTTTTAATTAAATTTTCATAAAGGAGGTGATTATTATGACAATTATCTACATTTCTACAAACGACATATATAAGTATACCATTTAAACACGCAAATCCATTAAAACCTGATTTCGAAAAACGTACCCACACAAAACGAGCGAAATATATAATATAATTTATTATAAATAAACATAAAAGCCCAAAAATTTACCTAACTATTATACTAGGTACCAATATAAATAGCCAACGTCGTGGCGAATGTATCGATCGGATCAAGTCAGCGGAATTGTTGACATTAACCAAAAGCAAATGTAATATTCCTATGTAATCCCGAAGGGGCACTATGAACACCCAATTTCTAGATACAATTCATAATCCTCTTAGATCGTTAAAGATGTCAGTGCGGCGTATATCATCGTTAGTTAGACCGTTTACGAGTCTCATCAAACATTAAACACAACCGTAAAATCTAATTGCCATTGGAGATTATATTTTATACTTCTATAATAGCTGTATGCGATACTTATCCGATGAAAAATTATAATGTCGACAAATATTTTGTTAAGACTTTATCTAATCCATACTAAACATGCCATTGATAAAAACAATATTAAAACGATGCGATGATGTTTGGCCATCGTGTGATTAATTCACAGTTTAAGAAAGATGATGTTAAATTAATACAGAATAAGATAATTTAATTTAAATAAGCGCCGGTAATTTAATAGTTAATGGACATCATTCAAAAAATAATATCAATACAAATAATAATTAAATTAATATAATATAATATACTATGGAACCTTAGAAAGTTATAATAATTTAACATTGTGATAATATATTGTTCTGTGAAAATTATAGGTACATAGATAATTATATGTCGCGAGTAGAAAAAAATCTTGTTATCACTCGATAAGATCTAATGACACTCATAATTCATACAATTCTGTAATATTATATGCACGTTTCAATATAATTGTTTGCGATAAGTTGTCTGTTCATCATAATATACGTAAGTAAATTATTTCACATAATTAGGAAATCTCAATCTCGACGTTTAATACTATTATTGGTATCCATGGAATAAATATAATCGATCCCAAAAGTTATGTATATATATATATATATATATATATAAGTTAGCTATAATTGAAAAATGTGAAACTACATGACAGTCGGACAACTCAGTTTATGCGATCATAATCTAGCAGCAATGCGCTTCGAAAAAATGATAAAATATTTATACGACTTTTCAATTTCCCGAAACTGCACTTAGTACATATACCACGTGCGCTTTCGGTCGGCAACATTATTTTAGCGATTTCAGCGCCACCGTAGTGCGCACATTAATTTTTATCGCTGCAAATAACTTCACTCTTTACTCCCGACCTACGTCTCTCTTCTCCGGAGATCAACCGTATTTCCGGAAGTGCATAGTATACAGTTATATCTATAGTCGTTTCCGTGTGTGTGTATAGGTTAGGTACATCCGACGGAATGAGATTTACAACCGTTAACGTACCGAGTGAATTAATTTTATTTATTTTTTCTCATCCTATGAGGGCATTTGGTGGCGTCGAGTTCACGGTCTGTTTGAAGCGATTTGACACTGCACAGCACTATAAAATAATCAGCTGCGATGGTTTTTATGCGAAATAATACTTCAAATTATTCGTCTTTCACGAGCGAAATGTCAATGCCGTCGAGCGCCGCAACGGCGACATCTAATATTTAAGGTCAGACAATACGAAATATAATAATGCGACGGCGGTGTACACGTCATACTCTCTCTGAGTCTCTCCCACCGGTCTAATCCGATTCGGCCTTTTGAGTTTAAATAATTGTTACGGTTCAATAATATTTATGCCCATAAGAAAAAATATCAATATATAATATTATATAGTTAAAAGGTCTGTTGACAGTTTTCACAATTTCGTTTGTATAATTTAATGAATGCCCGAAGTGCGACTGCTCTTCATCGTGTCATCATCCGTGATTTAATTATAAAACTAACGATTTATACCGCCGAAATCACTAACACACACGTCACGTCAAGATTTAATTATCGATTTTCATCCATGCCGTTATGCGAACGACCAGAGCCTGATTTAGGCATTTTGTGGCCTTAGGCAAGCGTTTATACTATATAGCCTCCCTGCACAAATGAGTTGTATATAGCAAAATAATAATTTATTAAAATTTAGTATTTACTACTTATACATTTTCACAAGCATAATAATTATAATATACATTTTTT